CCCCGCGTACCGCTGCTCCATTCTCACGCCGTTACCCAATGCGAAACCCGTCGGGCAACTAAACCAGCTCAAGAGAATGTTCGGTTCTACCTAGTGAAGATGTAGTCGGGCTACTAGACCAGCTCAAGAGGATAATCGGTTCCAGCTCGTGAAGATGCAAGCGAAGCTCTGCCAATCAATCTGGTGTAGATCCCCGTAGGGATTGCATGCTGCAAGGACTGTTGTTTCCTCTGCTGAAAGGGAGAAAGAGACGCAGTAAGTAATCCCCTCAATAGATTCGGAATCCTTCTCGTGCACGGCTGGTTCTGAACGTGCTGGAAGGATATCCGTATACCTCGGCAAAGAAAGGACAACGTGTCAGGCAAGCGTCAGAGCGCAAATTGTGGGAGGTACAGGAGACGGGATGGTAGCATACGACGGAGACACATTGGGCGAGTTAAGAGCCGAGGAGGCTGGACGGCAGGGCCGACGGTACCGTAACTTTTACGGGAATGTTTCGGTTTTTGTTTGGGGTTTGTTTGCTGGGACAAAGGCGAGCGGCGGGGCTGCTGAACCACCGGTCGGCGAAGCAGGCGGGGCAGGTGTTGCGGTGTTCTGCAGATGCCCGTCACTAGCTGTAGACGTAGGTCTGTAAGGAAGTCATTGCCGTGGGAGGGGTAGGTTGACGACCCTGGTACAACATTACACTAATCAGTCCCGCTCTTGTGGTTTGTGTGCAGAAACAACGATCGTTTGCTGAAAAGTCAATCCGTGTCGGCGGCACGAAAGTTTGCTTTTTACCATGCCCCAACGAATCGACAAGTCGAAGGATTGGTCCTGATGACATTGTTGTAGTTGTTCGAAGGACCCACAGACCAACCACCAGCGGGAGGCGCCGTAGTCGGATCTTGGGAAAATCCATAGTCCACATGACAGGCCGGGACGAATCCAGCCGGACCGCACGGGGGAGTCGTGCTGCGGCTCAAGCGTGTCAATAGGGGGGTACATGGAATTTTCACGACGCTGCTGCTCGTCTAGGTAACGCGCCCGAGTCGGAGACGGCCATAGGGCGTACCATAAGTAAGAACAAGGGGGGGACGAGGTTTTACGTCCCTTTTCTTCTTTCGCCGCTTTTTCTTATCGTTCCGTACGTGGAGGATTCTGTCTCTTGTATTGGTATCAACCTTTAGCCTGGTTTTGCCGGCCTGGTTTACTCCGTTGTCGTCCAGGGGGTGCCTTACACAGGGACGGCTGGCTGTGGCTCGTTTGGTAGGGGATATTGTCTCTCGCGCGAAAGAAGCCCCTCTTCTACCGTCGGGTATATTTGAAGTTTGAAACTTTTCCTTTTTTTCGCAACTAGACTAGACTAAGGAGCATTCGTGCAGGAGTCAATCGTGTTCATGTTGGACGAGTTCGTTCGTTGTGTGTGCCTTTCCTCTCTTGTGGTGATGCTTGTAGTAGTCGGAAGAGAACAATATAGACAAAGGATATGAGCTCTCTCTTCACACACGCGTGCCTGACCTAGGCGCCTCTGACGAGGATGCCAAAACCCTTCATCTCGGCATACAACGAAGTCTGACGTTGCTTGTTTCCTCAGGTGGAATCAGGTCCACGCCGAAATTTCCCCAGCCCTATGGGCTTCAGTTTCTGTTGGCGAAATTCTCACACCTCTTTCGATTTTGATCCCAGCAAGGCCGCATTTTCACTTGGTTTAAGAGTTTGGAATCTCCGGTTTCTCCTCTAACAAAAAAAAATGTCTTTCTTCGGTCCATGTTGTCGAGATTGCGGACAGGTTTTTTGTCGAGTTCGAAGACGTGTTCCTCCTGCCTCCACCCGCCCCTTTTGCAAGGTTCATACCAAAGCTTCCGTCAGTTTTCGAGAAACTCGTTTCTTGCATGGCACAGTTCGTAAATCTTCTCGGCCCGACGGCACTGAACCGACGCGCAAGCCACCTTTTACCCCCTTGGGTCATCAACGTTCATGCTAACTTACTTTCTGAACCCCACTCCACAAGCGATTTCAGTCCGTTCAATAATGCGTAAGGCGGCAAGAGGTTCACTTGAACCATCGACAAGGTCCGTTGACCATTATCTCAGGGGCATCCGCGCACGTCCTTTCGTGTATTGCAGAGCATTCGGCTGTATGAGCCGTTGGTAACGAAGGAAACGCAAAGGGGGGGTTAGGCTTTTCCCCCGTAGGTGATTTTTTTCGCGATTTAGATACACTTAACTTTTCTTGAGCTCTATTTTCAGTATAACAGCCAAACTTGACCACAAACATACGAGGCAATCGCCTACGGGGGAAGAGCCTAAGAGGGGTGTGCTCTTCCTGTGATATGCATGTGTTTGTTTTTTTCCGTGGCTTGTTTCTGTCGTTGAATAGTCATTCGATGTTGCTCTGATCGCCTCTGTGCATACAAGCATCGATTCGATTATGTATGTCATGTATACATACTCCAGTGCGGTGTGTCGAAAAGATTCTTCGTAGCATCTAACGGCGATAAGCGACAGTCACACGAACCCTTTCGATCGCAGCACAAGGTCAACTACGGAAAAATGCAACCATGATAGACCTGCCCTTGAAGGATGCCACCTCTGTGCTGCCAACCTTCTGCGCCCTTGTCCATTTCAAGCAAACTGTATCGCTCCTTATGTACATGCCGCCATTTGTCCCGATATCCAATGCCGACGACGACCAGAAATTCGGCGAATGCGCAAATAACACACTTGAAGCTCAATATGCTCCTCTGATGCTCAGGCCGTCGCCGTTTACTTGGGGCACGGTATCTTCGCGTCGGCATTTCATCACTATAGCCGCGTGTGGTGTGTACCACCACAGTATATACGGAATATACAAGTAGTAATAGCACAACTTTAAGTAGTGACAAACCCAACATATAAAACGAGGTGGGTTCCGTTTCTTGCATTTGATACATAACCCATCAGAACCTACCTTCCAGGAGCAAGGAGAACTCTACGGGGCACCGAAGCACGCAACTGCTACCAGGGGTCTTCTGCCTTGATTCCCATCGCAATAACACCAAAGGACACAAGCATAGCCAACATCAGGAACCAATGCTCGACCAACGGGGCGTGGACGTTGGCAACTCTAACAATACCTTAAATTTCCATAGAGGACAAAGCCCTTGATGTGCAAAAGTAAGCGTGAAGCGGCGTTGAAATCGGAACCCGACAACGACAATTTGTGCTACATTTGACAAGCCCAACTATCCCCAAAACGATCGATGGGCGAAAGAAACGAACATCTATGTACCGAAATATTAGCAAGTGCTCACGCAACAGTTGTCTATTGCTGCTCTAACAGGGAAACAAGGAATTCAGGGACAAGCGTACGTAGCGCAACATCGCCGACGACCAAAGGATATTTTACAAGGAACCTCAACAATCCGATTCCCCAGCAACCATTTTCCCCCAGAAAGGTTGAATGATGGCTATTCTACAAGGCCGGGGTGTGTATCTCCAACGAGCACAATCTGTTGCTTCTTATCCAAACAACGGCGAAGGCAACAAAAGAACTCGGAATAACGCGCGCCTGGTCAAATCTTGTAGACCTGGACGTCGACCTCGCCCTGCCACACTTTATTCCGCGATTGGAAATCCATCGGCCATCTCAGCCGGACATCCCATTCCAATGCAGAAGGCCTTCTTCTACAAGACATCGTCTTTGAAAGCGTGGAAAATGCGGCCACAAAATCATGCATCACCACCAATCGAGAACGCCACCAAACGAACGCCCGCCCGAATTCACGAGGTCGGAGAACCACCATTGATCTCGATTTCGCGTCCTCCCAAATGAAGAAGGAAAAGGACACGACGGCACCTCGGCCTCAAGCTTTTGGCTCACGCACCCACGAACTGGTCAATGTTCTTGGTCCTTACCCACGCCCACTCTGCTCCTCGCCCACCCCTGTCCACGAGACGCATCTTGACGTCGAAGCTCGGGAAGGGAGACCTGTGCCGCATTCCATCCACCTCGAAACTCTTGATAACCTCCTTGAGTGTTTCGTAGGTGATCCCTTGCATAGGGGAAGGCCATTCCTAGATAGGAGGGTACCGAAGACGTGGGTTGAGAGGGCGAACGAAGAGAATAGACCGTGGTCGTCTGTGCAACCAACGTCCAAGGGGTTTGGAATCGAACCCCGGCGTGACATAGCGTGCCTACGAGCTCTTAGGCTCAACAGGGTCATGCATGGCACGAAAAGCAAGCATATGGAGATTCACGTGCTTGCAGGATACCACCACGTTCACCAACAAAAACCAACGGTTTGGTGTGCGACGTTGTGTCACGTACTCTGGGCGTTACATTTCACCTTTTGGGATGTACGCACGCACAAGACCAGCAGACATCACACAGGAGCAAGTTCAGCCAGAAATTGTAGTCCTTCACTATTCTGCTTCGTTTATGAGACCATTTTCCACTCCCAACAGTCTCCGAAGCAACAAATCGGCAGCGCCTACAGTTGCTTCACCTGTTGTGCCCCATGCCCTCCGGCCCCATGGGGCAGCCCCTCGGCCCTGCCGCCGTCCAGTCTATCCCCGGCGATGCTCGCCACAGACTCGACGCCCGAGTGCAGTGATTCCTCGGCGAACGTGGACAAGGCACCGCCGGCTTTTGTCCCAAGGGTTGCCTTGAAGTCCACCTCAGGAATTGCAAGGCCAATGCACACCCTGAGCGCGATTGAGGCGAGAGCCAGACCTACCTTCGCAGACGGCATCGCTTTCTTTGCCCATTCCACCAATTCTGTCACCTGGGCAGCGATCACGAGGGTGTGAGCACCAGCTGCGATATTCAAAGTGATATGACTGTTTCCCGGCAGGGGCAGGTGTGGCAATGGAAACGACGCGCGCGCTCGACCTGACATCTGGCCTGCAGGTCACCGATGATGAGACACCAACCGTGTGACACCGATTAGTTTCTGATACGACGGCAAGAAGGGAACACGGATGAACCAATAGATATATTCCAACAGGCGAGCGTGCTCCTAAGGTGCCGTGAACTGCATCTGGCCTACGCACCTCGTAGCCTTGCCCTCCGGGGCCGCACTCGGCGATGCTCCTGTCGTACGGGCAGAGGAAGAACATCCGCAGCTTTCGCGTGGCAAACCCCTTGCCCGTCCTCTTCCCTCCGAGGCACCAGTTCCGCAGGGTGGCGGACCACTGCTCGAATGACCTATCTCCCTCCTCAAGGGGCTTCGCCCCGCTCTCGGGGGCGGGGAGCACGCACACCAGGCGGGGGATCGGCCACCTGAGCGTTCCAACGAAACAGACGGGCCCTGGCGTTACATCAAGGATTCAATCCACCCACTTGAACTCCTGCCCCCAACCTCTGAGGGTAGGGTACCACGGGACGATGTACAAGTAGCTGGAGAGTACGCGGGGTGTGTGCGGGCAACAATTGACCACGCGTGTTGGAGTACGTGGCACCGTCCGTTATGCATTGACTGATTGTACGAACAATATGCATTTGGACCATACACACCACATGAGAGCTCACCGCAGGAAGGCCACATCCTGCCTCATGCTTCTATCCATCATGAGCTTGACGTTCATCTGGTCCCTCTGTACGTCCACGATACGCTCCAACAAAGCCTTGTGGTCACTGTCCGAATAGACAACTGTCTCCTCGGACTCTCCACTACGGACAAGGCCAAGGCCGGGGAACCTGTTCTTGTGATCGCTGATCAGCTCGTCAACCTGGTCGCCGATGTCTTTCAGAGCCGTCCTCGCACTCTCGTCGAACACGTTTCCCCTTGCGTGGCATTCAATCCACGATGTTCCATCAGTAGCCCGAACCTCGTACAGCAACACCAAGTGGCTCTTGAACAAAAAACACACGCCTCATTTCCAGCACGCCTTGATACGCCCCTCCCCGCGCCCACACCACGACAGCAACCGAGGCACCAGCCCCGGGGGCACAGCATGTACCCTAACAAGCTTCAGCTTCTGCGAATATATCGCATTTCCCGTCTTCAGTTCTAAAATCTTTCCTGGATCCACATCCGGACCAGCTTTGTTCGGCAGACAGCTTGCGACAACGTAACGATCCGGCACGAACGCGTGCTGACCATCACGTACTCGATACATGAATCGGACGTCAAGCAAGCTACTCACCATCACCTCGACGTCTGCTTCGCTCATCTCCAGAGGCGGTGCCTCTTGGCTTGCCTCGCGCAAGTCCATGTCTCGAAGCCACAGAAACTTGAGGTAGTCTTTGCTCACCTCTCCCGTCTTGATAAACCTCTTGTGCTGATCTGTCAGTGTCAATAGCGATGACCGTACTAACGGGCATGCCTCCATCGCTTCTTCCACCTTAGCCTGCTGCCGCGGGGCTACCAACCGAACGTCGACCACGCGGCGGACCAGATCAGCAAACCGGGACGGGTTCACGTGGATGATGAGGTCCGCTGCTGAAGCCGCAGCACCAATGCCCGTGTTATGTTGCTCTTGAGAACCTCCACCCCCGTCAACCCCAGTCAGATGAATCGCGCCGTGAGCTTCGTGTGACTTGACAGCGGCGAGAAATATGCGCCGTGGTTCATTATCCCGGAGAAATGAGTTCGACAACCAAGACAACATGGATCCCTCTTGCTGCGCGGCAAAAAGCGATACGGCCTCCGAGAATCTGACGAAGCTTCGACGTTTCTTGGGGTTCCCCTCCCGAAGCCTTTGCGCCACCGCTTCTCGTGTACTGCCGGAACCACGCAAATCGGCACCCCTACGAACTGCTTCGAGCGTTGCAAGGCTGGCATATAAGGTTTCGGTACGACGCTTCTCACGGATGGGAATGAGTAGCCGTCGTACCCGTTGTAGGCAAGGTACTCTAAACGGTGCTGAAGCAGATCAATATCTTGCCAGTCCGAGGAAGCAAGGTTCAGGGCAAGCAAGTCTTCTTCCAGCACAACGCGGAGGGGTTGGTAGCGGGGGTTCCCCTTCAAGTCCGTGGTGTGTCCCTCTCCCAGTTCTGCTTCCGCACGGTCCTTGGCTGAGTCACATTCGTAGCGCATTCGCGTCATGATGTCGTCCACATCTGTTGGCCACGGAGAAAGATAGGAGTTGTTGGACGACGTAGAACAATATCTGCATTGCGCATGGACACCGAGAGCTCGGACAGAGTTCAGAGGCAAGATTAGTGTGCGGTGGGGCTCGCACATGTGCAACGGAATCGGCCAACGAAAACGGCTGGGCCACTAGCCGTTGGAAAAGCGAAAAACACTAGGGTGCCATATGCTCGACCTAGCCGCGGACATCAACTCTCAACACCCGAAAAATTGAACTTTCAACTATATTTTTCTGCTCAAAGTGCCCTGCAGGTGCCTTGCGCACGGCGCGTGGTAGTCCCCATCACTCCGTACCACTTCCTTCGCTACGCTCGCTACGCGACGCAATCATGTATTGGACAAGGTTGCCGCTTACGGCGATTCTAGACCCAGCCGACCCCATATGAGCGGCACCATCGGCGATCGCACCCGACACGTTGTTGTTGAGGTACAGTTACGAGATACGATTTAGACGCTTGCCATCACATGACCTACATCGCAACAGTTCGCCCTCACGACCGACCTTCCTTGAAGCTATCCGTTCGCCTGGTGCACTCGGCCGCATTCGCTTTAAACAAGTCGGTGTGCGTTCCCACGAGCAGCATAATGGAACCCGGGACTCTGGCCTGCAGAATCTCAAGCCACTGCTCGAGCGCATCCTCCTTTGACTGCCCCACCTCATATGTGAACATATCCACAACCAGAACGAAGAGAGCGCCTGGTGTGAGGAACATCTGGGCCGCGGGACATCGGGGAGGCAGGACATCGGGGAGAACGGTCGTGGTTAGTTGTCCGTAAGTAGCGCATGTCATGGCGCGTGCCTCAAAGGAAAGAGAGGCCGCGACAGCGACAGCCAAACATGTTACCAAACAAAGGCTTTCCTCCATACACTCGTTCACGTGTTTTCCTACCGATGATAGGATCACTGCTGGATTTTACGTAGGATGCATCATTCCTCCCACCTGGTGCGTGTCGTAGTATGCTCTCTGCCCAGCAAAGTCCCAGAGGCTGACGTCTAGCTCGTCATTCGGCCCGATTCCTTCGTTGGTTGGGCCAGGCCCTAGCTTTATGTCCCGTATCTCCACGCCTACGGTGCGCTCCTCGGGTTTCGGACAGCTAGAGCCGAGTCGGCCTTCGAGTCGGGTAGCAATACTGGTCTTCCCTGCCTCGCCCAATCCAACCAAAACAACCTTGAGGCGGTTGTACCATGCCCTGCCGTAGTCATCCAAGTCCTTGAGGAAAACAGCCGTGTGGGCCATGCCCTTCTCCATCACCTTCGCTGGTGGCTCCTTCCAAGGGTTTTCTCCGGTCCTGACGGTCACGTTTCTAGCCGCAAACCCTTCCGCCACCAATCTAGAAAACACTGACGAATACAACGGGCGAAAAGGTGAATTGAGAACGTGAATAGTGTTTTTGAAACATAGAGAAATCAACTCTGCCGGGAGCTGAAGGAAGCTGTGGTACAGGTGCGCCTTTGTGCATGCTGAACTCTGTCAGGTCTGCGGTTGTTGGACCCAGGGGGTTTGTGGTGAAAGTAAGTCTTGAAACAGCCCATGTGCAGCCTTCTTGGAAAACAGCTTGTGACCAGTCATCGGAGCGATGTAGATGTGTTCGGCGCCTCTTCCAACCAGCACCATGCAAGAACTGTGCTGAGAGCATCACCACACCAAAATGAAACGTGATCAGCGTGACAATACCCTTCCTCACAACACGACAATATGTGAATATGCCAACTTGTCAGGATCGTAAAAGCTGTGTGCGAGCACCGATTGCCAACTTTTCTATCATCACACCACCATGAGGGGACACTACCTATCACGACTCGTGCAACCTCTTAGTGACCGAAAAGGAATATCATACATATTCTACATCCCACTAGCGTTCACGATACTTCGAAGATGGGCAACATTCAAACAACTACCACGTTGGATCGCCGTACTAGAAGACCAGACGCCCTTGCTGTGGGTAGTGCTGCACAGTGGCACTTCGTCCTTTCGCAATATAGTCTAGGTACTTCGGGTGTAGATTCATGGCGTATGAGTCTCTTGTCCGAGCAGGATGTGGTGTGCGTGTTTGTGAGTTGGTGTAAAAATGGTTAAACTAATGGCCTGGGGTGGCTCCGCCCTTCACTGGAGCCCGCTCCCGTTCTTTATTCCCCACGCCGCGAGAGCGAGTTTGGCGAATAGGTAGGTCGCGAGATAGAGATTGCGACAGAAGGCAACGAGACTCACGCTCTCCAGAATAAATTGAATACCTTGAACCCCCCTCAACGCTCGTTCTCAGCCGAGACATTTTCGGTTGTTCGCCAAACCACATGGTGCCCCTATCACAACGGTGCCAGCAAGCTGACTGGGCCTAACCAACCACAGAATGCCTGTGGATTGTGTTATTTCGTTTCCACCAATCCCTCCCCCCCCATGTTTCGCCCACACTTATCAGTGGAGGGGTGCGGGGTACAATCTTCGAATATTTCATGGGGTTTCACGGTATGGTGCGGCTTTTCGTTTATGTCACCGAGCGAAATGGAGCGGGTGATCAGATCTTTTGTGTTGACCTTTCCTAACGAACCCCTTGCCCTTGCTTCAGAGAGTGCCCCGCTACACATGAGCCAGAAACAAATGTGCGATCCCTGCTACGCGAAAACATAACGCTTAAAAAAAAAGCTGAGCTGCTGTGCTGCTTGCGCACGCATTCCCAAGCCCTGGGCGAACGGCAGAGAGATCGAGCGCACGTGATGGCCTACGCATGATCGTATGTTTGAAAACACCTACTCATCACTGTACCCACGCACCCACTGCGTAGGCCGCACGAATGTTCTAGAATCGAAAACACCGCACCGTAACTCACTACATTGATACTACGCAGGTGCGATCCCCGCGCAGCTCGGCGCTCTCAACAAGCTAACGAATCTCGACCTGTCCGACAACCAGCTCAGCGGTGAACGACGATGATGTTGAACTTGTAATACTCCATAGCTTTAATTTCTGCTACATGTGCACGCACACATTGTTCCAGTAACGCGACGCGTAAGCGATTCGCATTTCTTACTGTTCATCACTCCTTGTTACTCTCGCGTTACTGCAGCAGGTCCGATTCCGGAAGACTTCGAGCACCTCACAGCTCTGACGACCATGCTGCTCAGCAGCAACAACCTGGAAGGTATGTGTGTAGATCTGTGATCTTTGGTTTCCACACGGAAATGTTGAATCCCACCCGCGGCGTTCGCAGGACCGTTTTTCTAGACGCCGGGGATTAATTTTATTTTTCTCCCGCCAACTTCTTATTTTCCCTTCGTCTCGCAGGCAACATCCCGCCCGAGCAAGGATATCTCCGACAGCTGCAGTTGCTGTGGCTCAGCGACAACCACCTCCAGGTACCAATTCTATTTTGATGGTCGGTTAAAATTTTTTCTAGCATTGATCCATGGATGAATCTCGCCGATGCGTTGGCAGGACACATCCTCCTCGAAGGGGGGAATTTTTCTTTGTTCTCGTTGAACTTTCCGCTAAATTCTTGTTTGCACTTTCGCTCCAGGCGCGATCCCGCCGGAACTGGGAGATCTCCGAGAGCTGCAGACGCTGCGGCTCAACGGAAACCAACTTACAGGCAACTTTTTGTTGTGAAGGTGTTTCCAATTTTGTTTTTAGCGTTGATGTTGATGAACGTCGCCGATGAGTAGGCGGGTACGAAATTTCAGAACTCGCGGGATAACTTTTCTGTACCGTGCCCAACTGCCCTGCGTTGACTCCCTTGTCTACAGGCCATATCCCGCCGCAGGTAGCAAATCTTGGCGCCCTCACGCACCTCTACCTCGGCAACAACAACATGGTGACTTTGAACAATTCGAAATGCATTTTATTTTCCTTCGAGTTCTGAACATGCATGAATCCCGCGTATGTATCGACGAGATTCATGCACGGACTCACGCAAAATCGATCGGGAAGAGCTATACCGTGTTGACTCACCGCTCAGCTGGTTGCCGGAATGCACAAGCCTCTGCAGTGCTGAAAGGTGCCCCAGCTCGGATGGAGAGTGTGATAGGCCCCATCCCATCCGAGCTGGGGCACCTTTCAGCACTGCAGAGGCTAGTGCTTTCCGGCAACCAGCTGAGCGGTGAGTCAACACGGTCATTCGTAGCTCTTTCCCGATCGATTTTGCGTGAGTCCATGCATGAATCTCGTCGATGCGTTGGCAGGACCGTATGTCTGGAATCCGAAACACGTGACATTCTCATTATTTCTTCGTCTGGCAGGCACTATCCCGCCGGAGCTGAAACAGCTCACGGCACTGCGAAGGCTGTACCTTCACGAGAATCAGCTGAACGGTGAGTCACTAGCGCCCGTATCGCACAATTACATTTTTCTTTGCAAAGTCGCCGTATTTGACGATGTGTCCTGCCAACCCTGTAGGTAGGACAAGATCCACGGAGATCGACAAAATCCAGCGGGCCATTCATTGCTATTCCCCCGCTTACTCCCGGCTGACTCCATGCTTGAAATGTCTCTGCAGGGCCCATCCCGCCGGAGTTGGGAAAGCTCGCAGCGCTGACATGGCTCTCACTGCGGAGTAACCATCTAACTGGTGAGGCATTAAGTTCGACTTTCAGGATGAATCTCGCCGATGCATACGCGGGACTCACCTTGAATCCAGATCGACTCTTTGTTGGTTCCTCACCTGTGAGCCGGTTTCCTCCGAGCGAAAACGTGTACAGCTTACTCAGCGCCCCCAGCTCCTTGGGAATGAGTCCTGTACAAGAGACATTGCAGGGAAAATGAAGTAGAGCAAAAGATATCCCGCGAGTCCTGAAACTTCGTACCCGCCTACTACGTTGGCGTCCGTGTGCGCGTTAGTGGGTAGGTGTTTCTAGAAGCGGGTACTTAACTTTAAATCCCCCGCAAAGTTCTCATGTGCTCTTATGCTTGCAGGCCCCATTCCACCGGAGCTGGGGAACCTTGCGGCACTGCAGCGGCTCTACCTTTGGAAAAATCAGCTCAGTGGTAAGTCCCTATTTGGGCAAAGGAATATCTGATACTCCCCATCTCAAGCTTTGTCATGAATCCCTTTCGACTTCTATAGATGCGCAGATGGACGCCAACGCGTGCGCGGGAGTCATGCTTCAAACATGAACTGCTGAACAAACTCACCGGTTAGCTCGTTCTTCGAGAGGTCGACTTCAACCAGTGCGGCGAGCTCTCCAAGCTCCGGCGGGATGGAACCTGCAATCGGAAGAGAGAGTAGCGGGAGAAAACAAACTTAAATGCCCCGGCTTTCGAGAACACACGCGTAGCAAAAGATATCCCGCGAGTTCCCAAATTGCGAAATTTCGTACCCGCCTACAAGGCGGGATTCAAGCAATCCGTTGTGACGTGTGCACGCCGAACATATGGAAGACACTTACCGCTGAGTTTGTTTTGGTAGAGGTCGAGCGATTCCAGCTTGACCAGCTGTCCTAGCGACGCCGGGATTTCGCCTGCATGGTATTTGGTATTTGGGGAATGGCAAGAGTCGTTTGGTGCGTAGCAAAAGATATCCCGCGAGTTCCCAAATTCCGAAATTTCGTACCCGCCTACTACCGCGAGTTCCCAAATTCGGAATTTGGGAACTCGCAATAGTAGCGAATTTGATTAAAGACAGATACCGTAGTAATAAAAGAAGAAAACTGCACGTGTCTACTAAGACTGTCACCCTGCACTCGACTTCGTTTAGGAGTGCTCTCTCTATCATTCTTCTTGCTTTCACCACTACTACCATCACTATTCTCATCGTCATTTTGGCAGCAACTTTTTGGCAGCTCTTCTTCTCGTCTGTCTCTCCGTCTATTGTTGTGCGGGAGGTCCTCTGGCTCGAAGCTCTTGCTCTCTTCCACGCCATGATTCCCTTCTCAACTGCTGTCTTGGTCTCTGTCTTGTCC